TCGGAAAAGTATTTTACTTGGTTTCTGGAGTCAATCAAAATCTTCGTCGTACTTCAGGGAATACCATTGCGCCTTTGTATTTTATCAGTGACATTCCTCATCTTTCTGAAGACCCAACCGAATCCAATGTCGTTTAACCAAACGTTATCAATATCTCAGGTATCATATATGTATCCTGGTGTTGCTACTGCCATCAGACCTCCCTGGACCAGGCCAAACGTTATGAGTCAGCTCTCCAACAGCGATCGTTATTGTCGTAGACGTTTTCGGGAAAGTATCATCTTCATGGACATCTTCCGTTAAAACAGTAACAAGCACAAATCTGCTGAACTTCACTAGGACCTATTTTCAACCCGTGTCCCAAATCCTCACGCACTACCTTCAACAGCGCTTGCAGATCTCTGTGTCCGTATCTACGCCACCAAATATCCTGGAAAAGTTCGCAGTGCACGTGTTTTGGGTCTACTACGAACTCCCGATCCGATAATTGTTTCAGAAGGAATAGACCATCGTTCCGTTTACCCAATAACACAGCTTCTTCTCCTTTTAGCATAGAAAACATGAAGCTTGTCAAATAACCCTTGAAACACCAAATCAATTATTCGGCTCACGACAGCAAGTTCTGTGCAAGCGATTCACAGAGACAGTCTACCCGGAACCAGTACCAGCGATTTACCATCAGCCAGACAAAAAATGGCAATTTAGACTGATTATTATGTTCTTTTAGAATGTTGGTGTCTTTCTTGATGTGAAAAGTTGCACTGCATCTTCTCCAGCTACCCCAGCATCAAGGCACAACTATCCCCCCGACTCCGATTTTGCAACATTTTTTGCTTGCTGTGGATTTGCATTTCGCAAAATGTCATTTTTTGCAGTAACACAAAGTTTATTTTTGCTATAGTGTTCTTCAAGGAACCGGTCGTTAGAACTTCATCACAGAGCAATGCGTTCACGGTATTCCTTAGTCCAACAAGTTTCCCTTGGTAAAATTGACCGCCAAATTCACATATGATCGACTTTTGAGTGCCATTGTCAATCAGCCGTTGGATTCCTAGAGGCTAGACAACATAAAAGCCATGCAATCGTGGTCTCTCAGAGTACATTCAAATGAAGATGTAACGTCGCCATTTTACCGTTATACGACGTCCTTTAAAAAACAAGTTTTGCGTTATGCTCACGAATCATATCCACACCTATGAACAATATGCAAAATTTTGGCTACTCAAGTTCACGGATGAATAAGGTTGGTACCAGTTTTTGGAATGTTTCGTCTGTCTGTTTGTGACATCGGTAAAAATAAAAAAGATCGAGATATTATTTTGTGCAAAATATGATTATTTAACTTGATTTTATTTCTTCAAAAACAGATCATCTACTAGATATGATCTCCATCAATCGAAGCCACGATTCGAGGAAGAATGTCTGGATTAAGTTTGAGTAGCAAAGCATTTTCGATAGCACCAGCCGTCAGATTCATTCTTTGATCATTCAACATTAACTTCAACGCACTAAAACCACGCTCGACTGAAACCTGCGTAGCTGAAGCCGATAAAACAATCATAGCCACTCTGCAAAGTTCAGGGCTTGTGAACTTCTGACCTTCCCAGTATGCTAGCAGATCAAAATGCACTGGTTTCTCATAGCTGGTAGATGGACCTGGGCGCGACGTTTCAATGATGGGTACCTTCTCCCTCGTCTCAAGCTGCTTCAGTTTTTGAGCAAAAGAAGTGTTACTTGTCAACGATGAGCTGCCTTGTGAATCCTCGTCAAAAAATCCTGCCAAAATAGTCTCCAGATCATCTTTATCCGTGTGGATACTTGGAGCATCAACAGTTTGATCGATTTTTCCGTTAACGCAACCATGCAGTTTAATAAGAAACTCCTACAAAATTATGGAAAAAATATCATATAAGAACATAGTAGAGACATGATGAGCTGCAGAAAAAAACCTACTTGTACAAGGTCTTTATTTTTCGATGAAATTCTTTTCGATCCCAGGAAATTGAATCGAGGGTCAAGATATGCGCAGGCCTTGAACTGATTTGATTCAGTGAGCTTCTGTAAACGCCGTTGACATGCTTCCAGTAGTCGTTGAGCTAAACAATTTTCTTTCAACCTAATCAATTTCGCCTGACATACTAGCCAGTATGCATAGAAATCGCTCAATACGACGTGTCGCTTTTGAAGTTGCATGGTGAGAACAAATGGTGCTTCAAATGCCTCGCAAAATCTTTCAATGAATTTCCAATGCGGTGAGAAATCTGTAATCATTAAAAAGAAAACTAATTGAGTGATTGTCAATTGCAGCGTTAAAAACAACGTTTAAAGAGCAGAGGGAAGTTCTTTGTTTTATGACGAGCCATGTATAAGATATAGGAAAATACGCAACGATGGGGAAGAGGTGTAATAAAGTTTAAAGCACTATTTTAAATCTTTATGAGCAATCATGAAAAACATTATAAAAAATCGCATACTTACCAATTTCCGGATAAGCCTTTTTAAGCATGCTGAAGAATTGTTTTTGCTTCAATAGAGACTTCAACATCAGATAGGTGCTGTTCCATCGGGTCTTATTACTGATCGGTGGAAGGTGGGCATCATGTTGCTTGACGAATTTGTGGTATTCAGTTTGTCGTAATTTAATAACCAGTTTTTGAATTTTTCGGATTCGTTTTTCATACGGCTTGATAACGTCCCATACTGCCAGCTGTGCAGTATGTGCTGCATATCGAACGCTACCCAAAATGTCCTGCATCGAGGCATCAAAGGGATCTGTGGAGACCGGTGGAGTCTCCGTTGTTTCATTTCTTCCATCTTTGCCATTATTAAAATCATCATCTTCATCATCTGCCTCGGAGTCAGCATCGTCAGCCTCGATTTGCTCATCCGCACCATCTACCGTATCAGGCCGATCAATATCCTCATCGCAGGTGTCTTCGAAACTTTGATCCGTACGAAATTTTAGATCGATGTTAGCTTTCTCGAGTGACTTCTTCATCTCGGAAACAGAGGCAACCATATTTGCTCCGTTGTCGTGAGTGACGGCATACACCTGATGCAGTTTAACTTCGAAATCACCCAATACATTTTCTATCAGCGTCTTCAAGTTTTCCTTCGTTTGCCTTTCTTGAGTCTCTTTGATGGCTAGAATTATAATTAAAGCAAAACAAATTTAATAAATTAAAAAAGGAAAAAAAATAAAATCCTCAGATATTTTGCAGATCACTTCATAGCATCCCACCATTCGCCGCAGTCTGGAGCAAATTTCAAAGACTATCAAATTTTACCTTACAAAGGTTGCTTACGTCGATTCATGCTTCGAAAAATCAACACTGCACAGTGCTCTAGGATTGAAAATTAGGAAGACAGAACTTTTAGTAAGTTTTATAGATTTGGAGTCTTGAGTGAAGTTTTTATGCTTGAAATCTTTTGGTCGTTTCAAAAATTAGGATTGACCTAACTTTTGTCTTGATAATTTTGTATCCTGGACCACTGCACTGGCGAACAAGGGAAAAAAATATTCTTGTTAGCCCTAAGGGTTTAGTTGTAAGGTATTTTTCTTGGGCCTTTCTAACCTGTCTCACTCCCGTTGTAATGTTTTGTTAACACAAAAGTTCCTCTAGCGTGTACGATAAACTTACACGTTAGTTGGTTAGTGAATTGATCAGAAACATATTTACCGAGATTACGAACTACAACTTTATAATCAATAATGTTTCGCGCACTGATTCCAACGAAGTGGCGGCTTCCTCTGGATGCTCCATCAACTTCGATTGTTATCAGCGGTTGTTGTTTGAATTCTGCTGATATGAGCTGCCGAGCTATACATGCTGAGTTGTCCACCAAACCGGCCACAGTTTTACGATTGGCAGTGATTCCGGTGGCATCATAGAGAGGACCTACCAATGTTTTGAATCCTTTCATTTCCGGGAACGAATGTGGGAGGTGATTGACAGTAGCTAACTGCAAAGTGCCAAGAAGGACGGTTTCTCTGTTCGTTTCCACAGGTAGCTTTCTAGATTTTTTCTTAGCCGGTTCAGCTGCTTTCTCAGTTGGCGGAGCAGGTTAATCCATTGCCGCGTAAACATCCTGGTGCATTTTAAAAATATGCCTTTTAAAATTCCCCGGCATAAGCGTATCTTGCTTATAATTACAGTTTTCACTGGCTTTGCAAAGGAACTTCGCGTTTTCCACCTGGATAACCTGCAGTAGGGTGTTTTTCTGCGTACAACGTCGTTTCATTCTGGAAATTTTAATAGTATATATGTGTATATGAATTGTAGAGATCTATTATATTGTCAATTACTTACTTTGATTTTTGCGATCACGGGTTGATGATTTAGTAAAATTGAAACAGCACACAGAAGTACACTTCTGGCTAAATAAAACACGGCAACGTTATGCGATTAGAATCTTTCGCGAAGAATCTTTGCGAACGAAAGAATGCATTCATTTGCGATCCTTTTGACAATCATTCAGAATGCGAAGCAAGTAACGTGGGAATCAATCAATGGATGAACATAAACATCAATGAACGCTGTCAACCTTTTCATGTTTTCGTTCCATCTTATCCTGTTGCGTGAACGCGTTACTCTCCACAGGCAGGGCTGCGGAGATTGTTTATCACAGCGAAAAAATGTTCATTGGTGATTTCAAATTGAACGTTACGTGAATGATTTTTTCCATGCTTGACAACAGCCAAATAAAATTGCAATATATTCAGAAAAATAAACTAATTTGTTATCCGAATCTCATCGAGGCAATCATTAGAGACTCATGATGCAATTCTATCACGGTTTATCTTGATACCTATCACCGAAAATGTTCTTCGTGACGAAAACAAAACGAATGGCATAATAATCAATTTGTCCCCGGATTACGGTACTTGAGAAAAACGAATGATTTTGTTGACACAATCCGTTCAACTCAATCACAGTGTAAAAGTTGATCTCTGCGGATTTTCATAATAATAATTATAATTTCAACTCGATCCTGATTCTGATAAAAATTTAAACTTTGGCTTCAAGCACATCTAAGTTTTGTTTTAATTTTTTTATTTATTTAATTCGGAGGATTGCATGAGTGCATGGAACGAATGGAGCGCTAGGACTTGACTGCGACTATAGACTACCAAAGACAACACCACCAAGACACAAAGTGCTAACCGTCCATTTAATGTTTAAGCATAAAGTTCATTCTTTACTCGTATGAACAGATTCATTCTCACAACAACAATTTGTTTCTTTTTATCACTAAATCTCGATTGATGTAAATACTAGTCACTACTCAGAAAACATCCAATCGCAACCAAAAGAAGTATAATAATGCATCGTAACCAAACCGTAAGGAATTCAATGTTATACACTGTACATATATCACAAACACACCAGAAACGAAGGGGCGAGTGCAAAAGCATCCCAATGCAACAACGGTCGTCAGTGTTGTGTTGAGGACTAGCGGAGGAGAGTAGAATTAAAAATTCTCTTACATATTAGCTGTACACAAATGCGCGCCCACGCGCATTGTAGTAAGTGTTTTAGATGCAAAAGCAGACGATCCTTTTGTGTAGTAAAGCCCAACAGCATAAATACACGAAACAAAACAAAAACAAAAAAAAAATGTCAGCAATACGATCTCTACATGATAACTAAATCTAACTCCTAAAATTAATCATTACTAAAGTAAGACTTTGGCAATGTTCTTACTTGAGAAGAAAACCCTACTTTTAGATATAATCGCTAAGAAAAAAAAAACAAAAGAAGAAAAAATCACATAAAGTATGACGAAGTTCAGAACCATATTATAATGAGAGAAAGAGGAAAAACGCAATTTTGGACTAGTATTTTAATTTATATTTATAACGAAATTAGATTTTAGCGTTTAAAGTCACGGATCCTTCGTAGAAGATACGCATCATACCAGTTTGCAAGTAGCGTGAAAATTCCACAAACTCAAACCTAAAAAAAAAAAACACATTCAAGAGATACGATTCAACCGGGCGTAAGGCGTACGAGGAAAAACACAAACAACCAGTTCATGATGTAAACGGTATACCACAAGAAAAAAAAATGGAAGAAAATAAGTTTAAAGGATGGAAATATTATTAGAAATTATCGTAATGAAGATGTGTGTATCTGAGTAATCTAAAAACAAAAGGAATCCAGAAATGAACGACATGAAGTCAAAATTAATGAACTAAAATTTATCCTTAGATGTTTCGATGTAGTTTGACACAGCAAAAATGATGATGAACGTGCATGTAAGAAAAAAAAAATAATAATGTGAAAACACTTTTAGATAAGCGTTCTCCGAGGAAAACATAACAACATTAGGTTCACACTACAAACTCCATTGTGTAGGTTTACGGCATGATATAAATTCAAAAACGAAAAAAAAAATGCAACATCAGCTGAAACAAAACTCATGTAATGATATTTTTCCCGGTCGAGTTTAGTAGCATCGCAAGCCACACTACACAAAGGTACACTTACATTTTGATTGATGAACGAAGAAAAAAGTACAAAATTCTCTTGAAAAACAAACAAACAAACAAACAAACAAACAAACAAGAAAAAGTGAGCAAAATTTACACTTAGAGGCAACACACCTTTCGGAAGTACAAAATTTCAGGGTTCAAATTAAATCAAGCATTAAAATTTAAAACACAAATAGAAATCATGAGAAAGGATCATTATCGAAGAGAAGACGAAGAAGTAAAAATCTACTATAGTAAAAGTGTAAGGTTTGGGATCGAGAACGAAAATGAAATTGCAACTAGTACTCAAACCGATAAGCACACAGGAAGCTGTAATATTATTACGTGAGAGCTGGAACTCAATTTCCCGTCTATATAGAATGAGAAGAGAAAAAAAAACAGGCACACCACAAAGGTTCGGTTCCGATAAAGGCAACAATGGAGCAGGAGGCAAAAACATACGTAAATTTAAGATTTAGAACCTTATTACTCGTAGGAACGTCACGTATTTAGTTGGAACTTTTCGGCAACTACTCATACACACATGCATTCACAACGCAGCGCAACATCCAGGAACGGATATACCAGACCATTGAAACACATACACAGAACCAGTTGAGGGAAGGTAACATCTCTTAGTTCGAATTTCGTCTTCAAAATTTGTATTGTTTCGGAAATAATATCATCGTAGAGATCCATACTGAATAGCACAAAATCAATCGGCTAAATGTTATTGAGTGATATGTAACTCCTATCGTTTGAAAAAAAGCATTAGGAACTTTGGATCAATATCCGCGACACGTTGGTCGTCGCATTTCCTTCGGCACTGCCGAAATACATTTACAGTATACTCAAACTTCCTCTGTATACGAATAAAAACAATATATTTCATATTGGAGAACTCTTCGGGCCTTACAACACGAACGATACGGTGGTTGCTGTCCGAATCGGGAAGCGTCGATCATCTTGTCCAATGCAATATTTTTCCAAATTTTCCTGTGCTCAATACATTTTTAAACGTTTATATTACCAGAACTGATCTTACAGCAGAGCTTGGTGCTGAAATGTGATCAGTTTTCACAAACTGAATGCATTCCAGCAGGGACGCTCACCATCGCACAAGAGCATTAATTGAATGCAAGTTTTCGTTTCCGATGCTTTTCCAAAGTGGCGCTTGCGTCGCTTCAGAGAAATATCACTCATGCAAATTTTGATGTTCAGTTTGGAAGTTTATTTTTGAATCATCAACTATGGTTTAGCAGCTATGACATAAGCATTGCATTATGATTATGGAATGATATTTATGATATCTGTGATTTTTAAATACATTGTAATTAAATAGTAATAGAAGGAAATGGTAACATGGAGGAAGAAACCAACAGCAAACCCTAACTCGAGGAGACACACCTACACACGTTTGACCATTATTGGGCGGAAGAAGTAGACGAAGGACAAAGTTCAGTTCTATTTTGCTATAAGAAAAGAAAACTAACCTCCAGCAAATACGACACATTTTCGCTTGAATGAACCTTTTTTCGGTATACTCACGTCACTTCACACGAACTAAAACGAAGATGAACTAAAAATTAAACACATTTGATTCACGGTTCGATTTAATTACTCGATCAAAATTATAAATTCATATATTTATTATATTTAGACATGTCATCACTAAACAAAAAAAAGCAAGCTTATAGAAAAGAGCATCTTCATCCAAATCATGTATTTTAAGTCACTTTTTTCACGGCTACAAAAGAAGAAGGAAAAAAACAAAACTATTTCCAGCAAAACGAAAGTTATATACGATCGCAAAATTGCAAAACACAATGACAAGAAAAGCGGAAAACAAACATGAATGAACAGAAAATGAAAACCGTGGGTGGTAAAATGGATATGGATTATAAGAAGAAAAATTCATGGCATTACAAACATCCAAATAAATAAATGGAAAAATGGGAAAAAGAAGAAAAACGGACACAACACTCACACTGACAAATACACCTGAGATCCCGTAAGCTAAGTGAAAGAAAAAAGGTGAATGCAAATAATAAATGAACAGAACAAAAACCAAAACGTGGATATGATAATTTATATATGAATATTATAAAAATAAAAATTAATTTGTTGCTAAATATGATGGTAGGAGCGATTTATTTTTTCCTGGAAGATCCGAAAGCCCACAAGTTTATTTATTTATTTATTTATAGTTTCAATGACTCATCTGACATATGGTTGTTCTAATGAATTAAAACGAATTTGATTTTTTTTTCAACTCGATCGTCGATAAGTTCGGACGTACTTTTATTTCGCTCCGCGTTTTTAAATGGTGCGAATTTTTTTAACCTTTTGTGATTCAATTATTTTTACTTGCATACATCATGGTTTGCGAAACTTGTGCTTGCGACACTTCTGTCGACTCGGTCACGTGGACGTGTGCAGGTTGCCCAAGAATGTTCCACGCTACCTGCATTGGAGTAACTGTACAACGGAACTCACTTCGCAAGAAGGACAGGAAGGTATCGGACTTTAAATCTTACCAAATAAATCATATTAACAATATGATCCATTCATGTCTTTTCCAAATGTTGCAATGGCGACCCGCAAAATGTTGCTTCACGCACCATCTAGCGTTGAAAAAGGTCAGCAACAATCATTCAATTACAATCGAGGTGTGCGAATATAGCACTTATTACAAAAGTAAGAGTCAAATTATTTTCATTAATTGCATTGTGTATATTACTTTAAAATTTGTCTGACATGTCACGGTTGTCATCAAATTATATAAAATGCTGAAATAGATTCATTTGAAATATTTAACAAATTTTCATTTGGTCTATCCCTCGTGACGATAAACAAATACATTGGTAGCCTTTTTGGCCACAGAGGTGCTTTCATCGCTAAAAATTTAGTTCGCCAGCTAAGCAAAAGAGTGGATCATATTGTTAATATAATATATTTGATCTTACGTACTACCATGTTGCGAGTCCTGTCAAGAGCTTTTACAGGCAAAACTCGATTTTTTTTCCTTTGGTTTGTTTTTTTCCGTCGATCTTGTTTTCCGTGCTGAGCACCAATGCTACCGACGTGCCAGGAAGGTAGCTCCCACACCTGGACCCTACCTATCGACCCATCAACTCATGAACTGGGACCAACGGCTTTACTTCCCATCCGAAGGAAGGCGTGATCAGAGATGTTATGCCTCAGAACATCCCGGCGGCGCCGACTGGTATTGAACCCAGGCCTGCTGGGGTGAGAGGTAATCACGCTTACCACTACACTACCGGCGCCGTTAAAACTCGATTTGAAAAGCATTGTTCAACAGCAATGCACCGGCTCACGTTTCAACAAAAACAACCGAACCTCGTTGAGTTGGCCGTCAACAAAAGAGAATGTTAATGTGGCGTTCAAATCGGTGACGTCAGAGCTATCAACTGACCTACGTAACTTAAATGATGAGATTAGCCATCTCATCAAGCTCTCGTTAGATACCGCGGCAAGTTGCACAATGCAAATAAATTCAATGTTGGAGCTTGAAATACTCGATGAGGTGAAGGCGTTGTCTGCCAACATAGCACACCATACACGCTACCATCTTCTCCCGACTTACACCCCAGTTTGGAGGTATAATTGAACAAGGAAAAGGACGCTGATAGGGTGGCGTCTTCTAGGTACGATGAGAGTATGGAAGGCCGATTGGTCTGAATACGATGCGCTCAAATTAAGGCTACAAAAAGGCGATGAAAGCGACCAAGCAGAAAGCATCAAAACAACAACAAGAACAACAACAAGAACAACAACAACAACAACAAAAACAACAACAACAACAACAACAACAACAACAACAACAACAACAACAACAACAAAAACAACAACAACAACAACAACAACAACAACAACAACAACAACAACAACAACAACAAGAACAACAACAACAACAACAACAACAACAACAACAACAACAACAACAACAACAACAACAACAACAACAACAACAACATAGATCTTTCGATCTGTTCAGAGGTGCTAGCTCCCAGATTTATCTGGCGAACACTTCCGGATACCCACAGCAGCGACCACTTTCCAATCACCGTCTCTTCACCTGAATTCTCACAGATCGCCACGAAGCGAAGAAGATGGCTCTACGACCAAGCAGATTGGACATTGTTCGAACGACTGACTTCCAGCAGCATCAAACCGGATGACGAGATTGGCGTTGATGAGTTCGTAGATCGGATATTATCAGCAGCAACCGCTAGCATTTCTCGAACATCAGGACGAGTTGGTTCCAAATCGGAAGTGAAAACGACGATTAAGCAGCGTCGAAAACTTCTGAGAACACTGACGCGCAGCAGAATAGCAGGATCAGACACAACGGATGTTTTGAAGCAGTTCCAGGAAGCGAAGGCAGCGGCTAAGAAGGCAGTGAAGGAAGCTAAGGAACATTCGTGGGAGGACTTTGTCGGAAAAATATCACCTAGCAGCACAACGGCAGAAATGTGGCGGACGATGAACACCCTGAGAGGCAAACGACAATACAGCAAGGCGGTTATCAAGCGACCCGATGGCTACACGGCAAAAGAACTGGCCGAGCACTACTGTGAGAGATCAGCGACCTCAAGCTATCCCCAACTGTTTCAAACAGCGAAGGAAAGAGCGGAACGGGATCGCGTGGATTTTCTTCCGGACAACGACGAGATATATAACGCGGACTTCACCCTGGATGAGCTTCTGTGGGCACTCGACAAAGGACGTAGTGTCTCTACAGGTCCTGACTCGGTAGGGTATCCGATGATCCGACGTCTGCCTGTATCCGTCAAAATCGCGCTGTTGCAGCTTCTAAACAGAATCTGGCGTAGTGGCGTTTACCCTATCAGCTGGCGAACCGGAATAATAGTGCCGATTCCGAAGCCAAACTGTTCTGAATCTGGACCTGCTGCTTTCCGACCTATCACTTTGACCAACTGCATCGCAAAGGTGTTCGAACGTATCGTGAACCGCAGATTGACGACTGAGTTGGAGTCGAATGGACGACTGGATAAGAAGCAGCACGCCTTTAGAGCTGGAAGAGGCGTCGACACATACTTGGCGGAGTTGGATAGGTCATTGCCAAATCGGGACGAACACTGCTTGATTGCATCGCTTGATTTGTCGAAAGCGTACGACACCACTTGGCGGTACGGTATCTTGCGTACTCTGCGTAAGTGGCAGATGGGTGGGCGCATGTTCAACGTACTGAACAGTTTTCTCACCGACAGATCTTTCCGGGTGAACGTGGAAGAACATTTATCGGATGAAATGCCATTGGAGAACGGAGTCCCCCAAGGATCAGTGTTGTCTGTCACGTTATTCCTTATAGCGATGCAGCCGATTTTCAGAGTGGTGCCGCATACTGTTGCCGTGCTTCTCTATGCGGACGATATTTTGCTGGTGGTACGAAGGAGTAAGGAGCGTCCTCTGTATATAGATCTACAGGCTGCAGTGAAAGCTGTCGACAAATGGGCGAAAAGCGTCGGCTTCACAATTTCCGCGACAAAATCAAAAATTTTCTACGGCAGTCCCAACGCCCGTCGAGAACCCAGCAACGATATATTCATCGACCGTACAGCTGTACCGAGGACGAATCAACTGAAAGTTGTTGGCGTCAACCTTGACCGGTCGCTGTCCTTCAAAAACCATTGCAAGGTAGTCAAAAACACGTGCGACTCTAGACTGCGGATCTTGAAGATGATCGGGGCTAAACTTCCGCGAGGGCAACGCGATTCTCTGTTGGGTATCGGATCAGCAATCATCACGTCGCGACTTATCTACGGTATCGGGCTCGTCAGTAGAGCGAAGGATTCGGTGGTGCAGACTCTTGCACCCATCTACAACCGGATGGTCCGGTTCGCCTCAGGGGCGTACGTCACCAGTCCGATTCCAGCGATTATGGCTGAAGCAGGCACTTTGCCATTCGATTTAATGATTATGCAAGCCATAATTCGTGCTGCAATTCGTTTGATGGAGAAGGATTCCAGGAATATCGATCTTCCAGTTGTGGAACGAGCGTCCGATCGCCTGGCGACGATTGATGTAGAGCTTCCAAAAATCGTTGTACGAACACGTCTAGCCAACCGAGAGTGGTATTAACCCAAGCCGCATATTGTTTGGGATGTGAAACGGAAGGTGAAAGCTGGGGACCCCCCGAATACAGTGCGTCCCATCGTGCAGGAGTTGCTGGCTAACCGGTTTAGCCGTGCTTTGGCTATTTATACGGATGGTTCTAAATGCGAGAACATAATTGGAGCAGGTGCATTTAGTAGCAGCATTCAGCAAGCAATAGGTCTTCCGTCACAATGTAGCGTTTTTTCGGCGGAGGCCTTTGCAATCAAGTCGGCTGTCATCGCTGCAAGAGCATCAACCGAATGTGTTATAACTCTGTCTGATTCGGCCAGCTGTCTTTCGGCCATAGAGAGTGGTAGATCGCAGCATCCGTGGATCCAGGAAATCGAGCGCTTACTACGTGGACGGCCGATCCACCTTTGTTGGATCCCTGGTCATGCCGGAATTCGCGGTAACTAAGAAGCAGACCGTCTAGCCAGTGAAGCACGAAACAGTCCACCAATCAACGTTGCCGTACCAAGAATTGATTCCATCAAGAACATGAACCAAGTCTTTCGTCAGCTATGGGAAGCACGTTGGGCACAATTGACAGATGTGAAGCTGAAGGAGGTCAAAAGGGAAACGAAGAAGTGGATCGATCAGTACAGCTCTGCCGATCAACGCATACTCACTCGTCTGCGCATTGGTCATACTAGGATTACGCATGAATTTTTGCTGAAGAAAACAGCTCCGCCAGCATGTGAATGCTGTGGGACCGTTGTTGACGTTCGTCACATTATTCTGCACTGCAGAAAATTTGAAGCGGCCAGGACGAAATACGGAATCGATTCCACAAGCACAAAAATCAATTGAACTGACATGAATTTTTTTTTTTTTTTTTTTTTTTTTGTATTTATTTAAGACATTTTACATCAATAGATGCATTCATGTCTGTTTCAATTTTGTGTAATGATGTGTGGGTGTGAGTGTTAGTGTTGATGGTTGATTGCACTTAGCTTTGTTTCGTCTCCTTCTGGTTCATCGTTGATCATAA